CAACCTATATTTTTTAAGTAATGAGAGAATCATGAGAATATACAATTTATAATTACTGTATTACCTGCTTGATAGGTTGTTGCCCCTTTTAACCAAATGGTATTATCTTTATATTAAAATCAATAAATATCTTATTGTAAGCAACCGCATTAAATTACTAATTGAAATTCTTCCTTATTCAAATTATCCATAACAGCAATATTATTCTTTATTCTAAAGTTAAAAAACATTAATTAATTTAATTTTATAATTAAAATAAGAAATATAATTTAAATAATGTAAAATTTTCAAGTTTATTATGAAGAATCAAAACTGTTTATATGATGCTACACTAATCTAACCATTATCTGTAATAGCTTTTGTATCAACATAAATTCTTTTAATTAAAAGCTTGATAATTCAAAACAATTTGTATTGGAGCAATCTTAAGAAACTATTTAATAAAAATCACTTTTTAATAAGGGATTTGTTGTTCCTTTTTATTATGTTAGTAATGTTTGAAGCATAATTTATTAACAGAGGCATAAGAGTAAAGTTAAATTTAATCAGTAAGTTTTGGATATTATTCAAAATATTATATATGCATTTAATTATCACTTGTTAACCTTCTTTCTAACATCATCTCTATTGGCTTCATTCAAAGGAGGAAAAGTTGACATCGAATCTTCACTCAAAGGTAAGGTCATTCTGAAAACCATGAGTATTTTAAGGTATCTGATGCTTCAATTCTCCTTTCAAGATTTCGAGTTAGCATTTTCTTCAGATGATCATACTCCCATTCGAAAAGTTGAATTCTTTAGAAATAATATCTCTTGTAACTTTACTTCTGGATATTTAGGTATTGTTCTCAAAGGACCAGCCAAATTATTTTCTTTAGAATTATTACTAAATACTTTTAATGCAGGCCAAGTACTTAGGATTCTGAATATATGTTCCAATTAATCCATTTCCTTTTAACGCTTAAATAATTGATCTTTCAGTAGTAGCTGACCAAATATCAATTTTGCCATTGTATTTGGAAATACTGAATATCAACTCAGGAATTCGGAGAGTGCACGGTTTATTTCTTTAACATCATCTACCTATTCCGAAATTGCATACTTTCAGTTATACTTTATTGCTATACAACAAAGAATTCAAATCCAGATGCATAACAGATTTTTACAATATTCCAAGGAGTAATTATCTGAGTTGACATTTAATTTCAGCAGCAGAGATAATAACTACAAGTAATTATTTTTTATTTTATAATTAAAATTAATGATTAATTTAAAATTATTAATTAAAATGAAGCTCCAAACTAAACATTATTGATGAAAAATGAAAAATTATCAAATGAAAGAAATAATAATCTAAAGAGTTAAAAGAATTAGATTAAAAAATTAGAATTTACTTGGATCTTTCAATCAAATCTTTTAATTCGTGTTCCATATATTTCATGATCCTAAATACTTTATCTGTAACGATTCATTTGACCTTAACAATGTTAGCATGATTAAGGGATAATAATAAATTGAATTTTCTAATAGATGTTATTGGAAATCTTTCTTTATTGATTAGTTGACTGAATTTGATCTTTATGATTGCTACTATTTCTCCTGTTAACATATCTGGTGCTCTAAATACTTCACTATAACTAATTTTTAAAATAATATATTAATTACACTCCTTCATGGATACGATTTATTATTTGATATCCCTCAATAGTGTCACGCTCTTCAACCAAGCCATAAATTTTTCTTTTCTTTAACGAACGCATCTTATCTTGAGCTGTCATACTATCAAAATACTTTTCAACTTATTCCCTTTACTTTAATCATTTTATTAAGTATTTTATTATTCATCATCATCATAATTGATTTCCATTTGTAATATTTTTTCAATTATATTCCATCTATTATTTCAACAAATTCCAAATAGCCAATTTAACCATCTTTATCGAAGTCACCATCTTTCAATAATGTATCCAAAAAATTAGGAAATGTCTTATTATAATGATCATATCTAAAATCTAAACATAAATTTACTTCCAAGTACTTAAGTTCTAAAAGGTGTGATAGGTTCCATTATTTTGAGCTCAAAGCCATCCATTTTAATAATTATATCTTAATGAAAAAGTACTTAAGGATATATAAAGTTTAGAGTGAGGAAGGATGAGAATTGAAGAAAAATTTTGATGAATTCAAACCACTCACTTAAGTAATTCAAAAAACTATGCACAAATGCTTATCAGAAATTTCAAACGAAATTAGTTGAGGCTGATAGGTAAACAATTTAGTAGTCCCATCAAAGAAAAATAGAAAGAACAACTAAAATATCATGCTAGTCGATTATGCTAATAGCAGAATCAAATTTAATAGATCGAGAAATTATTTGAATTAAAAACCAAATAAAGATTATAAATTGCTGAAATGCAAAAAGCTAAAGATAGAATGCTTGTTAAATTACAGTACTTCAAAGAAGGACTTGAACAAGAGAGAATCAACACATTAAATTAGATATCCATCAATCAATAATGTTTATTTTGAAACAGATTAACCATGTTCTTTGTTAGAGTGATTTAATAGAATGTTATTTTATAAGCAGATAATAGAATATTTTGGATAACAAAATAATAAAATTATTCCTAAATTGACAGGTTAATCTTAAATATTGATGTATTAGATAGAAAAATCTTCATTGTATCTAAGAATAATGTTCAAATTTATTACTATAATGATTCATTCCATTATCTTAATGTTGTTATTAATTAAACAATATTGAAGACTTTGGAACCTTTAGCAAATAAATCATTTGAAATTATTGATGCTTAATTTGCTAAATAAAATTAATTAGTGCTTTTAGATAATTATATGGAGTCATAATCTTAGAGAGTTGTACTTTAGACTCATTTTCATTAGTGCATTATCATAATTACTCTTATTACTCAACTTATTATGCTCATTTGAGTTACTTAATTGTTGTTATTGCAATGTTGAATTCCATTTTTGTACTTTCTTCAATTTTAGAGTAAATAGGTAATAAAAATACTTTTGTTTTTACAATTCCACTGATTTGTGTATTTATTATATGATAAACATTAGAAAAGCATTCTAAATCAGTTGATAACCCAACGTTATTAGATTTAGATTATTTGTGATCAAATATTTATATTTTGACTGAAAATATTCAATAAAATTATTATGTCTCTTTTTCTATGTTAGTTATGAAACCCTTTCACTAAACCTTCAAATAAAATGTTAAACTTTAAGTTATCTCAACCAAAGAGTCTTATGTATTTTAATATTAAATTATATCATTTATGATTATTTAGATAATAAATTTATATCAAAAGTATAATGTAAACAATTAAATCAAACTATTTGTGAATTATTCAACATATCCCTAAGTACTATCTTGAAAAAATTAAGAGTTATTAGTTCCAATTAATGATTAGAGTTTAAAATTAAAAATAGGTTATATAGAAGATTTGAAACTTAATGGAATCATTTGGCCAGAAAATATGCATTTTATAGTGGAAGTTTAGCTTATTATGATTTAAGTGGAAAACTTGATTGCCACCTTATATCAATGCAAAGAGTAAATAATTACTTATTAATTATAATATCAAAAAGTTATATTTTAATTCAAATAGATAATCGGATCATGATTCATTCTAATGGATTAAAAAAACTTGTAATTTTTGGATACATTTCTAAATTTAGACATATAATTGAGATATTTTAATTAAAATAATCAATTGTTTCAATTTTACAAGTTTGAAAGATGAAAATTCATTAATCAATTCATTTTGTTTAACTGAATAATTGATATATGTAGTGCTAAAAAGAAGAAGGAAATATATATATATATTCATTGAAGGATAAAGAATATATCTATACAATCAAATAATCAGATGAAATCTAAATTTGTGAGGGCTGATAAATATTACATTTTTTAATTTAATGACAAATATATTGGCAACGGTAAGTAATGAGAGTTTGTAGGTTAATTAAGCATCATAAAATCCCCTCAAATGAATGGTCTAAAGGTTAGATAATAAAGTATTAGGCCGTAAATAATGTTAAGAATAAATTTTTTTGACTTAAAAGATTGATTTGAGTTAAAGTTTGGAATATTATTCAATGTTTATATGAATGTAAGTTAGATAAAGATTATTTTTTGTTTATAACTGCTAATCATTTGATATTTATGATTCTGCCCATTATGTAAAATATCAAACGTCCTATTTCAGCTTTGACCAACAAATTACACCATATTTCTTTTAAAATAATAAACATTATTTGTTTAATATTGTAATAGTATATTAAAAGCAATTTTAAGTTTATATTTTGAAAAAGCTTAACATTATTTGTTTCATATTAAATTAAGAATAAAAAAGTTT